TTTATGTGCAGATATAATTTCCTTTAGTTTTATATGACTATTTCAAACATGCTTGCTTTTCATGCAGTTCTGGCCATATTAATCGGCACCCCAGGTAATCTATTACTGTAGCAGCACGATTTCCCACACACACTAAAAAATAAAAAAAAACAACCGTTATTTTTCAGTAGGGGGGAAATAATAATTATATATAACAAAATCACCACGGGGCCAAAAATTATTGGTCCCTTTAACAATTCCTAAAATGAAATAGGTAAAGTGTTTTCAGGAAGTTAAAATGAATACTCAGCACATTTCTTCCCAGGGGATCGGGTATTTTTGTGACACAAGGGCCCCTTTTTGTAAGCCACTAGCAACACGGATGGACATGGAAAAGTTTTTTTCTTACCTCAAATCACAGAAGAAAATGTTGGTGGCTCTGTGTGAGGTACCTATTTTCAAAACCTGGCATTCAGAGGTCAGCAGATCTTCATGACCAGGATTCTAACCTCTAGCTTACAAAGTTACAAATAGAATTCATGCATTTCCAAATATATTTATATGTGTGTGTATATATAATCAGCTGCCCACGTTAAATCAATATAATTAATGTAGGTCATCTGATCTTACCCTGCAGTCAGGGTGATATACCCCATTGTACACTGCAAAAACAAACTAGAAAAAAATTAAAATGTCTTAAATTAAGTGTATTTACCCTTAATTTGAGTAGGTAAATGAGATAGTTTGCCAATAGAATGAGTATTTTTAACCTTAAAATAAGATGAATAGATAATATGCACTTGAAATAAGACAATGCAATTGTTTTTTTTCTTATTTTAAGTGTATATTGTTTTGTTCCATTAGCAAAGTGTCTCACATCTGCTCGATTGAAGAACAAATTAACTTAATTTAAGAAAAATTAACTTATCTAGATAGGGAATTTTCCCAGTGTACAATAGAATTCCTGAAAATATCTGGATGCCCAAAGACAAAAATTTAAATTTGAAACATTTTCACCTAAAGTAGGAGATGCTCCATGGAGCGCCTTTCAGCTTTGCACCGCGGCAGAGCACAGATCATAAGGAGGGTTGAGAAGTTACTAAGGCAGAAGGATGGAGATGGACAAAGTTAAAGTTAGGGTTAAAAGTCCACTTCTTGAGAGCTTTTGTTCGGCCCCTTTTAGATGTGTTCCTGCTCAAACACAGATGAAGAAAACAGCTAAATATCACAGCAACATGGAGCCAAATTAAAGAATCCTGCCAACGACCTGATTATTTGACCCAGGTGTTTTCAAACAGACACATTCGGGAGAGTGGTGGTCTAGTGGTTAGGGCATAGAGCTTGGATTCCAGAGGTTCTAAGTTTAAGCCCCACTCCCACAGACTGTCATACTGGGTCCCTGAGCAAGCCCCTTAACCCCGCACTGCTCCCCGAGAGCCGAACAATGGCAGTGAATTTCATTGCTCTGTACTTGTGACAGTGTAATGACAATTAAAAAAAAACTGTCTGGAAATATAACAATAATCCGTTTAGACAACCTTCCGATGTCAGGTCTGTGATCCATATCTGGATGTAGTCACACATTCGAACTTCTATGCATGTAAAATGGAATCTAGGGATAGTAGGATGCAGGGGCGTCTCTAGGTTTAAGAGACAAGGGTGGCTTAGCCCCTAGAAGATAATGTGCACCTGCTAAGGCGTTGTCTAAGACAAGGGTGTAACTTTGTGTTGAAAGTTGGTGGGGACGGCTCATAAGGAAAGGGAGCTACCTGCGCGACGCCTTTTTTTTGTTGTTGGAAAGGATAAAGCCAAAAAAATGCGAATAACATTTATCAATTTAATGCTTACAGTTGAAAACATAACTGTTACAATATTCACTTATATATTTTGTGCAAAAGATATCACATAAATCTAAACAGACAGTACAAATCAAAGAAATCAAATAAATATATCAATTTTGCAGAACATTTATTGACAGTCAATTTTGGGTCACTTTTTAAAATTAATTTACTTTTAAACCAGGACTCGGACAAGATCTTATGGGACCTTAAGCAGAATATGATTAAGCAACTCCGTCTTTCTGTCAAGAACATCCACCAGCAGGGTATCCAGGGGGGATTTACCATTAAACCATACTAGGCAGTTGCCTAGGGCCCCAAGTTCTGGGGGCCCCATAAAACTCTGTTTCCATGTATGGTTAATACAACTAATCCTTATTTGTGCACATTAATTATGTTTTTGATAAAAATCCTTTGGCTAAAATGCCATCAGAACGCTGATAGAGAGGAAAAAGGGACAAGAAGAGAGGGACAAAACCTAGAACAAATAATAGATGTCTATTCTATTAACATTTCTCTATCTGTAGAATGGGTCTGTTTTATGGGTTTTCTTCTCAGGGGGCCCCCTGCCTGTCTTTGCCTAGGGCCCCAAATTTCCTAAATCCGCCCCTGAGGGTATCAATACTGATTTGATAGAATCTGGGAGAGCGGAGTATGTTCAACCATCCATTTTCTTTAACCTTATCCCTCAGTGGGATCAGGAGGTGCTGGTGCATATCTCCAGCCACGTTCTGGGTGAGAGGTGGGATCACCCTGGACAGGTCACCAGTCTGTCGCAGTATGTTCAACCAGCTTAAAAGTAATCGGTAATCAGATTTATTATTTGCACTTTTACTAAGTGAACTTTCTAACTCCCTTAAATCTGAAATTCCAATGCCAAAATTGTTTAAAGCTTTTATCTTTGGACCCCCTGCAGAGTGACGTCACACCTGCAAGATCCTATCCTTACCTCGCTGCTAGATTGCAAAAAGCAGCTTGCTCATGAGTTGTCAACTTAACACGCTAAATCTTAAATGTACGTGTACATATAAAAGAAAAAGGGGCGCAGTGCTTGCTACTGAATGGCAACACTATCAAAGTCAGGAAAAAGTTTTAAGTAAAGCCGGGATTAAAACAGTAGCTATAAGAAGCTTCAAATAAAAGGTGTTCTTTATGTTCAACCTAAACACCAACTCCGATAGACCATCAGTAGAGCAGGTGTTTAAATTAATCAATCACTGCTTAATAAACGCAAAATAAACAACCCTCTAAAAACGGAAAACTGTAATGGACTGAAAATCCTGTTTTTTATGTGGGAAATTATTTGCGTGTGTTTTAGTATAATTCTGATATATTGGCGCTGTTGTCTGTTTCTATGGTAATGATACTGAATGTAGTGTAGCTTAGAGACCTGCATGGGTCGAGTTTTACCAACCCGCACCCGCCCGAACCCGTTAGGATGACTACCGAACCCGACCCGTCACCCGCGGATATCTTCAATTCAAATGTTATGGGGAGAGGTTGGAGGGGGGTGATGGGGAGAAAGCGAGAGGCAACAGATTCTTTTTTCTGAGTTTTTTGTCTGGGTTTGTGGACGGTGAGCAGCGGGGAGAACTTTTTTTATTTTCTTTCTGAGGAGCGGCATGAATGGGGTTTTAATCAGATATACACAGCACCGAAAGCAAAATACGTGTACAAAATATTGGTGGGGACATGTCCACACCAGTCCTTAAGGAAGTTACGCCTATGATTGTTCAGATTAACTTGTCTTCTTTATGGCTTTTATTCGGTGCTTTACTGCATTTGTTTTGGGAAAATATGGGGAAAAAATAAATACAGAAAAATATATAGCTATATTTTTTAAAATCGCAAAATAATTATAGGGTGGCTAATGCCAAAGAAAGGGTGGCTGAAGCCACCCTTAAATAGGTCTAACGACGCTTATGGTAGGATGTATGTTTTCAGCTTGTATAAATGGAATAAAGGAAAACTAAGAGCTGTCTTTTTGCCTCAGGGTATGAAAGCATTCACAGCAGGAGTCCCTCTAATGCCACCGGTGCTTTTGCTAAAACAATATTTTTTTCTCACTTCTGTATAAATGTACTTAAATTGTTTAAGATTAAGTGCTGCAGTACAATGAATTCATTGAAGGTCTTTTTACAGTGAATCTAAGCTGTTTTACCTGACTTCAGCCCATCCATTGGGGAAGTTACAATCTATAACCTGGCCTGCAAGCGAAGTCGCATGCATAGCTGCTGCTATTACATGTGTTTTTTTTTTCAGAATCAGTGGTTTCATTTTTAATTGGGGAACAGGAAGAGAGTAAAAGCAAAAAACTGAGTGAATTTGGTGAGATTAAATAAAGCAATCCAGAAAGGAAACTTTAAAATCTCATAATCAAAAAAGGTTGTAAAAGTAACTTTGTTGTTTACATTAGATCTTATTTTTTCTAATGATCTTTTATATATAATTGTATATATATAATTTTTTATTTTATTTTATTTCTTCCAAACAATTTTTAAAAATATTTTATATTTTCAAACTTTACTTGTTTTTAAGTCCTATTTAGATTGAGGTCCATGAACTGCATTATTTTGGATAGTAGATATAGGAATACATGAACCTTATCTGTCAACAGCAAACCTCATTGTCAAAGTCATTTCATGCAAAGTGGCAAAAAATATTCTCCTCCAACTTTATGGGCATCAGTATATCCCCAGTTCTGTGTGGATTTATGCGATAGCCCGCGGTCTGTCATCTCCCTGTTTCTAGGCGGCGAAGGGGCGGTTTAAATTTGCGGATCACTTCTGAATCTCACCACATCTCAGCACATCAGTGTCATACGTGTTTATGACACTAGTGGTGAGGGGGTGGGAGGGTTTGCAGCACAACAAAGGGAAAAACAAACAGGTCTCCAAGGTGATCGAGGAGATTTCTGAGAATGAAACCAATGTGCTTATTATGAGAATGGCTGAGAGAATGAGCCAGGACTCTGATGGGGCACAGTAATCGTCTGCAATTTGCCGACCTTAGTTTCAGCACACAAACACTAAATAATGTCTCCAAGTGATGTTGGTCTGTAGATGATGACTGGAAGAAAAAAAAAGCTGAAAATGCATCTATCTTTAGAGGAAAAATGTTAATAGTGTTTTAAAATGAAGCAGGAAGAGACCATTGATGTAGGAAGCGGGGAGCTCTAAGTACCTGTGGCCGGGTCGACAGTTCGCTCAATCACGTGGTCGTTCTGATTAACCCACTCGCTGTTGCATTTGAAGTAGATCTGTGTGGCCGGAGTCGAGCGGCAGGTCAGAGTCACGGGCTTGTTCTTCACGATGTACTCGTCCTCAGGCTCCACCAGGAAGTGAGGCAGCAGGTCCGAGAACGCAGCGGGAAGCGCTGCTGTGGCAGCGTGCTCTGAACCTCGGAGAACAAAAGAAAGAAAGATTTTAAAGGACGGCAAATAGAAAAACGAAATGCATTTCCAAGCTTTTGAAGTTTTGTCAGTGAGGCAGGCACCCTTCTTCCTGCCTTCTTGTTGTACCTGTTGAGCAAAGATCAAATGCAGATCGTAACGTCCTTGGTAGAATTCAGCTCATACACATGCATGTGGAAGAAGACAGAAGAAGATAGACGGACAAAGAGGAGGAGGAGGATAGAGCTGGCAGTGACAGAGCTCGGCCTTGTGTGCTCCTGGCTGGGTCAGAGGGGCACTGAAGTCCATGTCTTCACTCTGGCTCTTAATCACAGCCCTTTTAACATCAGCGCTGATGGACCAGCAGCCATAAATCCTGGCACAGAGACAAGACCACTTCACGCTGTGTTATAGTGCTTTCAGCCAGGACTCTAACCCAGCCTACACAGCAGGAAGGACAGAGGCTAAAGAAAAGTGACAGTTAAACAGCCCACTGACTCCAAATCATTTATCTGCAGATGTTTCTAATTACTTAAGCATTCTGTATGATGAACCCAGCATGTGGAGGAGCAGCAGGAAACACACTGGCAGGTGGAAAACTATTCCATTTTAAAACCATAAACGTAAATGAAATGGACAAGATTTTTCAAAAAATATCCAGTCTGAGAAATATCGATACTCAATGTATCCGGATACAATACTAGTTTAGCATGGTATTGATACTAAAGACAATTTATTTGATTAATCGTAATAATCGATTATTGAAAAAATTGTCAACTGATTTAGTAATTGATTAATCTTTAATAAGGAGTAAAGAGACTCTAAAACATGCATTTAGCTGACAGCAACTCATTTTGAGTGGTAATTGTACCAATGTTGTAAAAAAAAACATAACGTAACATTTTGCATTTAAGATATAAAAATAATTTGTCTGTCAATATGCTCTATCCAGTTTCACCTGGTTTCATTTCATAAAAAGTCTTCTTTAAAGAATATTTGGCTATCTCATTATTAATCGATTAAAAATTAATTGCCAGATTCATCGATTTGCAAAATAATCGTTACAAGACAAGTGTTTGCATATTTTTGCTATTGTTAATTTTGGATTTCGGGATTATCTTGTACATTAAAGGAATAATACCTCGGACAACCTTAAAATACGTTAAATTATATCATATTTCACTTTTTTTTTATTTTGCATTATTTGAACCACTTTTTAAATAACATCTGTGCTTCTGTTGAGAAATCATGGTTCACAATGAGGTTAAAAATGGTCAATTCCATGTTAATAAAAGACGTTTTTATGCCCTTATTCATATTGTTTTTTAATCCCCATGGTATCAAAAATGGTATAATTAATAAAATACAATGCTGAGAATTTATATTGAGTTTAAAATCTATTATTTTGACAACCCTATTAGGTGAACAAACAACTTCCAAATTTGGGAAATAAAGGAAAGCATACCTTTTTTTCAGTTTTTGGGTATAAAAAAACTAAATAAACTGGTGTTTTTCTATGTTTAGTACTCCTGAGTCTACAGTATACTATATAGGAACAGACTCACTGCTGTGAATCCTATAGGGTTTTGTTTCCACCTTTAGCACATCAAGACGATAAAACGTTTGTGAGAAGAAGGAGAATATGAACAGCAGTCTTTATCTGGTGGCAGAAATTCTTTTTTGGATTTATTTTCTCCAAGTTTTCCCTGCTTAACACAGCCTCCTAATAAATTTACCGCTGCCACAACCGTGCTCTGCTGTTTAGGATGATCTGTTGAAAAATGTCTGCCTCATGTTGGTCGCTTTAAAGCATTAAACTGTCAATAATTAGTTTCTTTTTGCAACTATTCCAGGAATAACTGATTATAAAGGGAAAGTCTAAAAGTTTTCCTAATTTTCTGGGGGGTAAAGTCTGTTTTCAAACCACTTTGTATAATGCTTTGTTAATAAAACCTTTCAAAGTCATTCAGTTAAATATAAAACTGCTAATATTACATAGCATCAGGTGCTTTCTTAATAGTTTTAATGTTTTTTTTTACGCATTTATCACCTCCTTTGCTTTATTTCTTTCAAATCTTATCCCTTTTTCAACTTATTATTATTTTCTTTTTTTTTTTTTTTTACATAATTTCATTTATAGATGCATATAAATGCATATAATTTGCTTTCTAAGCTTTCTTACTCAGTTTCAGTTTATTTTTTTCCTAAACAGACATCACAGCTGACACGTTCAATGGTTTTATTTCCCAGTATTTATTTGTTCGTCCCTCTTTTTTTCCACATACGTATAAATATGTTCGCAATGCTTTGGAAGTCATTTCAGCACATAAGAAGCTGTCCTTGCTTGGCTTAAACACCACCGCCTACCGCAGACTTCTGTGCTTCTTAAAAAACATTTAAAACAAACGCAGGATGACACAAAACTGCCTACAGCGCACAGATCCTTCCTCTATGAACATGGTTTCTCTTTCTCTAAACATATTAGCCCTGCGAGAGAGATAGCAAGCGGACACAGAACAGAGCAGAGAGAAGGGAAATAACCTCTTTACTCTGCCGACACTCAGGGGAGATCAGTAAATCCCAAAATAAAACCCCTTTAAAAGGAGCGTAATATTAATTTACTGCCCTGAATCCAATATGGCTGACAGGCCAGACATTAACAACCTTCTCCATCACTTCCCGTGCAGCAGGAGAGGGAAAAGGAGTCCGCATCTCTCATAATGAAACGGCAGCACTCATCCTGACCTTTCTCTCCGCTCCCCTCCCATCCTCCCATCCTCCCGCCCAGCCCTTTGTTCATCCTTACAGCACGTTGAAGCTCTAGTTGAGGATTTATATGAAGTTGTGTTATAAATACCAATCTTTAGATAGAGATGTTATCTGACAGTTGCTTCCCTCTCTACACGTCTCCTTTTTTCCTTGCATGTTTTTTTTCCCCTTAGCCTCACCCTTGTGCTGAGTTGCTAATTCATCAGGATGAGATACAGAGAGGGCACGCAGGCACTGCTGTCGCTGAACCCCATTAATGTTTCGTGTACGTGTTTAACTCTTAATGAAAACTAAATGTTCTGTGTCCAATGAACGATATACATCACTTGCTGATACGTTGCCATTTTCCCCTGTTTTTTTTTTTTCCTCCCCGGCACATTTTCCTCATCGCACACATTTGGGAAGGAAAACATGGCAGCTCTCCGCACACTACAACAGAACCGCCTGACATTATTTACCCTGTACACAAGCGTGTCTCCTGTCTCATGGTGTCGGGGAAAACAAGACCACAGTTCATCATGAATACTGACTATAATTGCTCTAGAGCAACCAAAACTTCGCTAATAAACAGCGAGGGAGCAATAGGTCAGGTTGTTTGAAATTGTGTTGGGCCTAATTATGGCGACTTCTTCTAATGTGGCCATTTCCAGCTTTGTGGCTGCAACCATTAGCTGGCTAAGCTGAAACCCCTCCATACTCCCAGCAGGCTAAAGAGGACAGCTCGCTAAGACTGTGGGTGGGAACTGCCGAACACCTGCCAGGTTAATCATCTTTTGAATGACAGATGATATTGAAGCAGTGAGATAAAAAAAATCCCCCAAAAAAGTCTTACGAGTTGCAAAAATGGCTGCTTGTCATTTGCAGAGGTCATAATCATTGTGAACTCCCAACTTTTGATGATGTTTCCAGTTTGTGTTTGTGTGTGGGCGCACGTCGCTGCGCTTCAAAGGAGGTTGGGGGGGGTGAGCCTTCTGTTTTATCGCGTGTTCTTTAGGTTAATGAGGTTAAATGCGTAATTTCTTTGGAGATGTAAATGATCATTTTATGGGAGGGCATTCCAGTCACGCGCTACTTTATGTCAAACTCATAATGAAGGGCTGATGGTGACTAAATTGGCTTAGATTATTGTCACGGCACAACATGCTTCAAAGTCAGTCTGCACACAAACACACGCCGGGAGTATAAGCCACTTAGCAGGCTTCTTGCAGGTCAATGCACACATCAAATCGGCACATTATAGCTCTATAGGCTGCACATTAGATTCCTCTGAGTGGGATTGGTTAAGGCTCACATTAAGAGTCAAAAGCATGAAAGGTCACTGACAGGTCACTGCATATGCACAGACAGCAAACACTAGAAGCGATCTATCTCCCTGCTAAATCAGCCAGTCAATGAAAATGATGAATTCAATGCAATATGTCGGATTTGATGCAGGACGACTTGCAAAATGTGTTGCAAACTACTTGAAAGAAACACACAAGGTTTTGAACTCATATTTGGGTGCAGCTGCTTCTTCAGAGACGAATCGGCGGACAAAACACGCACTAGCACACATTCATAGCTAAACACGCGGAACACGGATGCACCAGCTGTCAGTGTGCTGAGCCATGATGTCCAGGGCAGATTTCCTGCTGCAAACAGACTCCATGTCTCATCTGTCCAGCTGACCATGTCAGCTCCCAAGTCAGGGTCACATCTACGGGAGGAGGAAGTGATGAAGTGTTTGTGATGCAGGAAAAGAGGCAGCTGGATGTGGTTCTGAAACCCAAAATAGAATAATGGAGTCAGAGCAGAGCTAGGCCATGTAGAGACAGAATAGTTCATGATGGAAGTCCTTTTTGGCTGTGAATCTCCAACAAACACAAACCCAGGCTACCAAACCATGCCAAACACACCGCCCTGAACATGTATTTAAATACCTTAAACATTAACTACTTGCTTGAAAGGTTTCAAAAGTGGTGCAGCTATTGTATTTAGCCCCATTTGCAATGAAAAAATTTTCAGCATCCATTTGCATTCAGGCGCTGCAAAAATTGTTACTCTTCACAGAGAGTCCAGGTTATAAAGAATATATTTGCACCAGTAAATTTAACCAACATTTTAAGTTTTTTTGATAGCATGTTTTTATATTCATAAAAAATCCCTGTCTTTTTATTGTATTGTATCGGTGGATATGTGTTTGTCGTTTAAAGGAATAGTACACCCAAAACATGATTAGCCTTCATTTTCTACTCACCCC